TCCGAGGTCGTTGGGGCTAGTGTCCTGCCGCGCGGGGTGGACTTCTGCTAACGGCAACGGCGGTTAGACCTCAGCACTATCCGAATCCTGCAAGTCCAGACAAGAATCTCCTATCATCCACTCACCTTCTCGTGGTCTCTACCTGCGGCTGCAGACGCGAATTTCGATGGCTGTTTTCCCCGTCACTGTCATTTTCTTCCCTCTGTTGCCCCCCCCTATATTGTTTTTGGCTATCGGGAGAACCGCGGTCTTGTTGTTTATTCATAGTAGAGGACTGATTGAGGTGTATTGGAGATAAATTCAGTCAGAAATGTGTTAATTCTAAAATTAGCAGAATGCTTGGATTGGGTGAAAGCACTTTTGCAAGTCTCAAGGAAATATCCCCAACCTGGAGGAATGCTCAGCCGGGTCTTGCTCTTATATCATAATGTTTGCAAGGAACATTATTGCCATAACTTACATGCACCTTGGCTGGATTAACGTTCCGCATAGGCGAACCATTTGCGAACGCCGGGGGACTTGTACAAGCCATCAGTTGCAATGGGAGCTCTCCCTTCCCAACCAGAATGCAGTCCCCAGCCGGTGATTGGTTTGCTTCCAGTTGTGGAAAGGCTTCTCGGGTCATTAATGAGGCGCTGGTGCTAAACTGCGCTTTCAGGTGCATAACAAGGCAAACAGGCGGGCTGAAATGACAATACCTCTCCTCATGCAGGAGCAACTTCCTCCCGTGAGTAACAAGTGTGGATGGCCGAGGCAAGGGGCTAGTGACAATTGTCAAGCGAGACACAAAAATTTGGCTTGATACTAGCAGTGCATCATTTCCTAGGTCAACAATAAGGCGCCGGTATCAAAACTGCGCATGCTTGCTTCAAGGACCATCTTCCATCAAAATATGCAGCAAGGAGGCTATTAAGGCCCCGGTGCCAAAGCGTCCAAGCACGGATGAGCCATTGCATGATTGCAATGAAAGGAACCTCTGCTGCAAAGCAGGAACACTAGACAACACTCAATTTGGCTAGACAGACCAAGGGGTATCATTTATACAAGCTTGAAGAAATTTCATTCAATTTTGTACTTGGTTCGTCTTCACAGCCCTACCCACAAGAGAGAGAGATAAATTATTCATGCAGATCAAGACTCAGGCCATGTTGCTTTAATAAAAATCTGTTGCTATTTTCCTCAGCTTGTTATAAAAGCAAGTTATGTCATGGTCACATGATATAGAGGCCAGCCAAAACCTTTCAAATCATCCACCCCGGAGGAACGGCTTATGTAAGAAATTCTTGGAAACTTGATATCTAGTTAGGTCTACGAGATCATATCAAGAGAGCAATTGAATTAACATTGCTATAGTCAGGCATTATTTTGTTGGATCCCTTCCTTTTTACGCGACTGGAGGTATTGGTTTGAAACGGCGCCTTTTGGAGAAAGTCACCCAACTTATCTCGTAATAAGCTGGAAGAGTGGGTTGTTGCGCACCGGACGACAAAAGTTGACTGGGTATTGTGTGATATAGGGAGATCGCCACCACAGCGGCCGCAGCCAGCCAACACCCCCCCTAGAGATACCAAGAATCACGTATAAGACACCCAATCCACCGAGATAGCTTGCCAAAAATCAATTACATACATGAAATCATTCATTCCCGCCTTTTCCACTCGTAAGCCCTAGCAAGAAACGCTCAACATGTCATTGCCCTAGTTTTTTGCCTGTTTTTGCTTACGGCACCTCCGTTGAGCAATTCGATTTTGTATGCGCCGTCGTTCAACCAAGTCCGATATCTTTGTCCAATCTTCACTGGGATGGGCGCTAGCGCTGAAGGCACCAGTGAGAGTGACATTGAACCGAAAGCTGAAACGGGAAACGTCAACACGTTGGCTTTTCTTAAAAGAATAATATTCAGGTGCAACAGTGTATAGAAACTTACTTTTCACTCCCCGGGTTCGTTCGATTGTCACCAGGGGTCGATAAGCTGATACCGTGAGGGAGCAGACCAATGAGTTTATTCGCATTTACTCCATTGATAGGAGAATTCTCGACATGTAGCGGGTCGTAACTTAGGCCTGGGTTTATGAAACAGCTCGGACCATACGCGAGTGGATGAATGAAAGCGTCGACACCGTTTCCTGCCTGGGGAGCGAAAGAATGGTGGCATGAATTCATGTCGATGGCAGACTGCATTGAAGCAGGAGGGGTTGAAAGCGGGCTTAGTAAATTAAGGTTCATTCCCGGGGTAGATAAGTCGGGTACTTGTGTATGGCAGAGCATGCCCATGCCAGTCGGTGTCGCGGTATAGTAGGTGGAGGCCTCGTTTGCAAGCGATGTGAATGCATAAGATTTAGGGTCCATTATAGAAGGAGTATATCGCCAATGGTCCGGGAGGCCTTTTGGTGTTTGTTTTGTGCCCTTTGTTTTCCTTGGAGTCCATCTTTGGTGGTTCAGACATTGGTCTGCACGTTGGTCATCAACCTCATCCTCATGGGTACGCTCCACAGTATCAACGATATTTTGCTCTTCAACCTGGTCCGAATATGGAGAAGAGGCAGGCAATTGCCTCGTCGATTGATTGGAGAACATGCTAGCTCGCTAGGTCGCCTTGATATGGCAAGATGTGGCTTGTGAAGCTTCTGGGAAAGAACAGACAGTGAAGTATATAAAAATACAGGGTCACTCCTATCCCTTTATGCTTGCGAATAACCAGTCAAACCAGGAAATAATAAAAAATCGCGCATGCATGTAACAAGGCGCGTAACAAGGCAAACGGTTCATATGGCCCTTCCCTTTGATAAGGACAAGCTAGCCTGCGTTTGCACAAGGCAATGGGCTAGTGGTGATTGTCAAAACGAGCGAAAACCAAACATTAGGCTTGATACTCGCTGCAGGGGCCATCCCCTGTCGGGATATGGACCCCAAGCCACCAGTTGCAATGGGAGCCCATCCCCCAATTCCAGCGGTGTATCGTTTCCCGGGTCGACGCAAGGCGCCGGTGCCAAAACTGCAAACGAATGCGGGTGTGGGATCAAAGCATCCAAGCATGGATGACCAGTCAGCATTCGAACAAGGCAACGAGCGAGCGGACAAGATGCATCAATCAGGAAAACACAGCTCGCCAGACATCACAATTTCCGTCACCCCAGAAGATCCAGGGAAGGCAAACATGTGCTGGTGATGTCCTGGGCTGCTAGATGACAGGGCTTCG